ATGAGTATTTTTACTCTTGAAATAAGATAACTACATATTATGCACTTGAAATAAGACAATGCAATTGTTTTTTCTTATTTTAAGTATAAATTGTCTTGTTCCATTGGCAAAGTGTCTCACTTAAATCTTTAATTCAAGAAAAAATACCCTTATTTTAAGAAGAAATGACTTATTTAGATTTCATTTTTTTTGCACAGTGCTGATTACTGATAATCTATGGTGAAGGATAGAGAGAGAAAACTGTGCTATAGGCCGGACTCAGTTCCTGAAGAACGAGAACAGAAAAAAGACAAGTCAGCTGCCATTAAAGGATCATTGGACTTTTTTAAAAGATGGTTTCAGTTCCGTGAGACGAGCAGAAACCAGGCTGGATCTGCATTAAGAACTAAAAAGAAAAAATAAAGAAGAAAAACAGTTTTTCTAAAGTGGCTTCAGCTGCACATTCAGACACCTTCAGCTACTTCCTGTTTTGTCTAAACCAGCTACCAGCAGAGGCACTGGGCCGCTTCAACTCTCCTCCACATTCGCAGCTTCTAGTCGAATCAAAAACATCCACTCAGACATTTTTTACTAAATTCCCGGTTCCTCCCTCCACTGACCTGCGATCCGTCAACATGAAACTCGGCTCTGCTTGTGGCTTCTGGCTCTTCGCCCTCATCTCCATTGTTTGAGTTTAGCTTCAGTGTTTTATTTACACACATTAAGGAGCAATTTCTATGCTGGATGATACAACAGCAATGCCCTGGAGCAACGTCTCAGGCTGCTGGACGGCTTACCTCCCTCACCGCCGACGGTGGGCCCACCTCTCCTGCGTGCACCGTGCGGTGTATCCCACGACGAGCCGCCTCCTGGGTACAACAAAACATATGGAGTGAATTTAGTTTCATTATTGTTGGAAGTCAAGAACACTTTCTGTAAATTGATATTTTGAAAAAAAAAAAAAGATGACTTTAAAAAAGTTCTTGAACAAAGGAAAAAAGATTGGTGTTACTCAGATTTTAAGTTTTTAATTTTTATATACTTTTAAAAATATATATAGTTTCTCACTTTTTGTTTTTAGAGATTTAAGAGCGCTTTTCTTTTTCAAATTTCTCTTTTTAAATAGTATTTTACAGATCTCATTCTCTTTACTTCAGGCCCATTACTAAAAACTCACTCTTGACCAATAAAAATGTTTCTAATGTCCAGCAGACCAATAGAAATGCTTCCTGTCTCACTCTAGAGGAAAGCCCGCCCAAAGTAAAGAGAATGCAAATTGTAAAGCTCAATCTAATAAAAGAGAAATTTAAATAACAAAAAACACATGTAAATATATAATAAAATATATAAGTAAATAAGAGACGGAAAAAAAGAAATAAAAAAAAAGAATTACAAAAAGTTTTTAAATAAAAATGAAATAAATAAATACAATTAATAGCAAAAAATGTAATTAGCATCTTATTAAAAATAAAATATGAAAAAAAAAACGTTTAGAATAAAAATTACATAATGAAAAAATAATACATCTTTTTATTTCTGGATAGAGTTTTTCTCACAGTTCTATTTATAAAACGTATTTCCTCTTAACAATAATGGAACAACATTCACTCCATAGATATCTGGCTTTCACATCTGCAACACAGAGCTGCTATTTCAGACTTCAGCTTGTTTTATTCTCAGTAAAAACATGTTTTGCATGAAAAAATTCGCCCTTTTACCCAAAAATGAAACTTTACATAAAGATAAAACACTCCCTGTGTTTATGCCGTCTGTTTTTATTTCAGCCTTGTCAGCCTTGGCGTGTCCCCAGGAAGTTTGTCATGCTTATTTAGCACATATGTATCTGAGACCATAAACTGTAGAAGATGATAACGCTTGTCATGAAGGGGACTCTGCTCCCTGTTAAATGCTGAATGAAATTTGTCATTCAGTAGATCAGGATTCTCTAGATAAGATACTGTCATTAAAACATCATTAGTATTTAACAGGTGATCAAACTCCTTTAAGCTTCAGATCAGAAACTAGATAATGCCAGAATTACCAAATAAAGTATTTGATAGAATAAGAAAACAACAGAAAAACTGTCTTAGTAAATTAAAGTTTGTTCCAGCTGTGGTATGGACTGTTTGGTAACGCTGGACCTTCCTGTTCTAGTCAGAGGGTCGAAGTCAGACAAAAATAAAGTTCACCTTTTATGATTAATGTGACCCTAATATTTAAAGTGGCATATAACAGGGCTACTAAATAAACTTATTTCCTAATATATAAAGTAGATTTTTTAGTTGCGTCTTCATGCCTCAGGCATTATTTTGAAAATTTACTGTACATTTGTTAAAATTCTGCTTTTGCAGCTTAAACATGGGTGCAGATTCAATACACTGAGCCGCCCAATGTTCCTCTGGATCTTTGTGGATCTGGTCCTGCAAACCACTGATTCCCAACCGCCTACCCCTAGTGGTCTCTGAGTGCATTGCAAGGAAAATATTTTATTTCTTAGGTATTAGAATGAAATAGGGATCGGTCTTGCTTTGCAAGGATCAAATTGAAAAATTAAACAAGCTTTATTTAACATAAAAGTA